ATACCTTAATGCTTGCATTGCCATATTTCCTAATTTATAACTGCATAATCTTAAATGTCCTTAAAATTAAACATCTTCTAAGGTACAAATAACTTTTCCAAATTCCCAGACTAAATGAGAAACTATATACCACCAAACGGCAAGTAAGATTACATGGAAATATGACGACCACTAGGATAGGTAAATTTATGCATGTCTTGAGGTACAACTTTTAAGTCACATAATCTGAAAGATGTCCTGTCTAATTTCCCAATTTTTTTTTTATGCACATTCATAATATAACTTTAAAAATACAAAGACAAGTTTCTTTACATCTTGGCTGTCTCCTTTACAAATATGCTATCCTATCATGAACAATAGGTGCTGGGCTTCATCACAACTCTGGGCTGAAGATCCACAATCTCCATCACAAACAAAGAGTTCCCTTGAAATATGAAAGTTAGTGCAGAACACTAAATTATCTTTTGGCATATTACTCACAAATAACAACTGGCCAGTTAACTCAATAAAAGCAAATTGAGAAAATTCATTTCAAACAATCATAAACAAAAAAACAGATATATGAAAAAAATATAATATATAAAATTACAATTATATGTAATATTTATACATGGAAGCAATTGGATGATGGTGATTTACTTGAATATTTCAACTTTAATGACCACAGCAGCACTGATCCCTTTCCCTGTGTTTAATCTACATCTGGAATGGTGCAACAGTCACCTAGCCAGCATTACAACAGTAACATAATTATTCTTTGCATACCTTTAAATTTTCCATTTTACAAACAACTGATAAAATTGTTAGAAATCTAGCAATACTTCTAGACTATACAAAGGCCCATGGGATAAATTTCTGAGATCAGAGGGGTTTGTCAGAGATGATATAATCATCATTATGAAATGAATATAAAGAAAAAATATGGCATGAAGCTTTTCCTTGAAAACTATGTATAAAACACCTGTTTTACCTGTACTGAAATATAATTCATATAGTTCTTGAACAGCTACACTAAGCTTGTAATTACTGCTGAGGTATTTAAGGACATAAAAAACAATAAACTGTTATGAATTGCCACAAAAAAGTAGGAACTGCTTCTATCAACAAACAACTCACTTTCTTACAATTTATCCCACATAAAGAAAAAAAAAAAAGTAAAAAGAAAAAAAATCTATGAAAAAGAAGACATTCTAGGAAGACAAACATAACATTTTATGAAGGAAGAATATAGAATGGGGAGGAAACTCATAAAAAATATAAATTAAATAAATAAAAAAGTAAACAAAAATCAGATATCTTAATGGCAGCTAACGAATTTGTTTCATTCTTTAAGTACTAAAGAGGAAAACAATAAGATCAACACTAAAGCCTGTTGATGAGTGTACCTAGCTCTTGAGTCTACAACTCAAATAAATGAGTCAACAATGCACAGAATCAACAAGAGAGGCACATATTGCTTGCAGACCAAATACAAAGCAGATGATGGCAGAAGTTGCACTAATACATCTGCCATTAATGCCACAGCACATGCCTTCACATTTGCTCCTACTGAGTGAAGAAGGATGCAAAGGTAAAAAAAGAATGGAGGTGGAAAAAAATGTGGTCTCACTTGCTTCAGGACATGATCCCATGAATATTCATTCCTCATGATTCAATGCAGAAACAAAGGAAGCTGCCAACAACTACCGCCCATGGCATCCTCTATCTTTTTACAATATAATACATGTGCATGAATTATGAGATCCCAAAGATGAATTACAGTTGAGAGATAAATAAACACTTCCTTTTAGTGGCCCTACAGTCTTCCAATGACAAGATATAGACATCTTTCCTATTAATACCTCTTGTAGTACATATAACAAAGAAAACGATCCTCTCTGAGGGGGCCCTACTTCTCAATGGTACAACAGAAAATCGTGATCCACATCCCTCCACTCTGGACTATGTATAGACAGGTTAGATGAGTAACTCACACCATCTCTTCCTTCATGGGTCATCTTCATCTGGCACCAGCAAGAGGTGTGATAAAGCTCACATGAAAATAGGGAAAATATCACAGCTAAGAAATCAGACAGAAAAGTTTCTTACATTATGAAGGTATATTTGTAACCCATATGTGCAGCTTCAGAGCTCTGGCAAATTCCATATCCAAATTCTTATAACTACTTGTAATAAAGTAATATTGGTGAACTGGGAGCATTGTTCTTAATTGTACAGTATTCTAATGCAGTAACTCTACAAACTTGATTAATAAAATATAAAAAATAACAAAAACATCTAACCTGCATCATAGAGCAATATTATCACTGTACAAACACTTTACATTCATCCTTATTGTCACCAGTCATAAGGTTGATAAGATGATGCTTTCTTGCTACCTTAACAACAACCTCTGAGAATTTGGACATTAAATACTTGAAACACCAAGTCTCTGAAAGTTTGTTAAACAACCACATTATGGAAATAGTTAAATTATCCCATCATACAGGGTACAGGATCATGCTCACTAACTACAATGAGATTCAACTGTACACTATTCACATTGTTCATTCACCTTCTGTAAAAGACGGGCTACAGGAAGATGGTGTCCCTCCCCTTTTTTACAGGTTATATATGAATGCGAGTCTGTATCTCAGTAATGTAAAGAGATAATGCACCTCTTTATGATATACTGAAGCTCATGACAGCTGGTCCCATCATGTTTGTGTTTCACAGAAGTTTATAACATTAGATTATGCCACAATCTTCTATTTCAGATTCAACTGCCCAATTGTAGCTACAATAAAGCCTCCCAACACCAAAGTCTCAACAAATTCAGTATACATATTGCTGCTTCACTTGTACTTAGAGGTGTACACCAGGTAATATTTCCTTTGAGCTTGTCCCTTACACAGTAGAATTAAACATGAATCAAGAGGATAATATCAAAAATACTAAGAAATAATATTTGAAAACTTCAGGGCAACTTCTGACAAAGTCCTACATAAAATCCCTAATAATTTCTCCTAATGTTTGTTGTAACCGCTTCGATCAGATTCCATCAAAATTGTACAAAAATGTGGAATTCATTACAATGAGAGATTATACAACTTTTAATGCTTGAGGAGCTGAAACAATTGACAAAAATCAACCCTACTGAATTCCATTCCAAAACTTGAAATTCATTTCTCTTCCCTCCTAAACCACCTTGGTTCTACGTCTGGTTCATGCCACGTCACATCAGCTCTGTGTGCCCTTAGAACTACTCAGCCATTGTTCTGTGTTGCACAGAAAGAAAGATACACAAACACAACACTCACATACACGCAAGTAATATGTCTTACAATACAAAATACAAGACAGTTGTAAAAATTCCAAGCAATCAGATAATGTACTAGAACTTTGTAATAACAAACTATATCACTTCTTAGGCAGAGCTATTTGAAAATTACAAAACTTGTTTTAAAACTTTTTTACCTTTTCATTTATGCTGATTAAAGGTCTCCATTAGATGTCTTCTTGGGTAAAAACATTGAAGCATCATCAGTTCAAATATGAGCAACATCTAAATGATATCTGTGACATCACCAGTGAGTTGATCCTCTGAGGTTCCTCTGAGTTCAACAGTTTCCACATAGACAAATATACCTTATTTACTGTCATACTGAAAGTCCGAAGTCACTGATCCTGCCACAAGTTCACAGAGGCAACAATTGAGCAACGATGCACGGGCAGCATGGGTGGCAGGCAGGATCTACAGTGGAGGATTCATCAAAACCACTGATCACAACTATAGCTTCTTGAATATTGATGGAAAAAAATCACAGACTTGTTGATAATATCAAGCACTAGAGATACCAATAATATATTTCTTTTATTATGATGTTTGACACCGGTAAAACAAAATGAAAATTAACAATGACTTAACAATCTAGCAATAATTTATCATTACGTGGTCACGGGGAGCGTGGCGGAGGCTTGGCTTGACGTTGGCACTGCTGCAGGTAGGGATCCTCTTGCACCTGCAATAATGTGTATCAACAATAAGACAACTCAAATAAATATCTCTTCTCATAAAATCTAAATGTTTTCCAAAAGTTAACAGGTGAGGTATAACTGTAACAAGCAAAAAGGATCATAAGGATTTGAAATTGAGTAAGAGTAAAAATCAAGTTATATGAGTATGCAAGGGCTGGAGAAAAAACAACAACAAAAAAAACTGGATGGTGTCCTATCACACTATGGCAAAAATTAAAGGTTGTCTTATAAGCCCAGCCATGAGCATGGCAATAGCTTAAGTGTGGAGTCACAAACATGAATACAGCCAGGTTTTACCAAACTTTATCCAAAATTTTACCCAAATTGGTTATCTTTTTTAACCAATTTGGGTAATTTTTTTTTACGTTGGCTGTTCAAATCGGGAAACGTGTGTAAAAGCAAGACAACATAATTATAAAAGTTATCATGAGCTCTACATTTCCTTAATACTGATATGTGACTTATGCTATACTGGACCAGCTAAAAATAGCTGAATGACAAAAATGTTTCCTCCTCAAGAATCAAGTCCTAGATTTAGCATCGATCTGTAACTTGTTACAAACATTCTAACATAATGAAGTAAATCACTCACCCCCCACACAGACTCTCACTCACTCACTCTGGAAATAGGAGGAATAGTCTTGTCACCGCACTCGTGTGTTTGTGCGCGCCTGGCCTACAAACAGTCTCCCAGCTGAGCAGCTACTCATGTAACCCTAATGCCCGTATTTCTGGTGATGTGATTGACGTAATGCAACCGGATCCAATGGGTAAATATGCAGTGAGTGCATTTATCATTTTTCCAAGATATCTCTACTTACTGTTATGATTATTGTGAGAAAGTTGGGGATGCACTGGTGCTCCATGTGATGCAGCAGCAGCAGCTGGGTTGGGACTACTTGGTACACCTGGGGTATTTGGAGTGTTCTGATGAACTTTTTGTCGTACTTCACGAATCTTTAAGATAAGGCAGCTCTTGGTGGGGAAAATATCAGAATTACGAGCTTGGAATGCTGATACTGCCTGGTCTGTAAGGAGGAGTAATTTCAAGCATATTAGTGCTATGCCAGTAAAGAACTTATATTACTATATCAATATATTCCTAATGAAAACACCAAGTCTCCTCATATACTATTACAAACCACTGTACTTACTAGATGGAAACCAGCCATATTCTGAAAACAGTTGCATGACAAGAGCGCGACGCTGGTCAAGAATATGTCTTAGGGAAGAGTGACTTTTATCTGCATCACGTGGAGTTTTGGGGGTTCTAGGTGAACGTCCACCAGCTGGAGAGTCTATATCAGCTGTTTCAGGTCTGGGCTCTGCAAAGAAGTAAGAGGAGTAGAATTAGTGATCAAAACAATCATTATAAATACATAAATACATAAAAAAACTAAGTTTCAGGTTATTCATGTCATTTCTCCCAGTAAACGCTCACTATATCAAAATAATCACTTGTGAGAAGGGAGATGGGGAGCTTTAAAGCCATACCTTTGAAAGTTTCAGGGTTGAAATCAGGAGGGAAGAACTTGGATCCCTGTAGTGTGGATGAGGGAGTGAGTGATGGAGTTAGGTGGGGGGTGACGCTCATGGGGGTTTCGGCCTCGGATTCCTCACCTCCAGCTGTGGGTAGAGAACTCAGTCTTTAGAGTCATGTCAAAAAATGGAAATAGAACAATTTTTTTAAAACTTAGAACTACATTACTGCATATTTCCCTGTAAATGATGCAAAAATCTATCAACTTTAAATATCTTTTCTTACTTAATGATGATTAGAATTTAATTACTGATTACACTGATAACTGCTGAGTTACTGAACTGGAATACTGCTAGCTGACAAACTGGTGAATTGAGGTACTTCACCCAGTCAAATATTGTTTTATCAACCAATAAAATAATGGAATGTTTTATACCACCAGCAAGCAATCTTCAAAAACACTAGTCTATCAGTAATGAACTCAACCAATGCATATATATAAGCTGAAAATATATTTCATATCTGAACTTTTAGATTTTTTTTTTTTTTTCTGATATCTCATTTTAAATAGCCTATGTCATCCAAACAAGACAAACACTTTATATGTTTCACTGACTAAGCATATTATCTGTGTAAATTTTATGTATTAACAGAAAATGCTGAATAGTAATCTAGAATACTGCTATGTATTTTCACACATTCCTATGCACTCATTCATTATCCAAATTTCTTAACTCACTGATGCTGGGAACATGCACTGTTCACTATGGCTTTACTTTATTTATTTTTTTATATACATAGATGGCTCCACAAGTGCCTAATCACCAAGGAGTCTACTACTAGGCCTACCTGACCTCACCTGTTTTCCCTGTTCCTCGATTTTTTGGAAAAAAGTTTTTATTTCTATTACTATCATTACACAGTACAGTTAATATTATCAATACTATCATAATCAGCATCTTATCATTATTAACAAAACACAATATTAAGAAAAAACATTTTTTCTCTGAATAATCAATTAATGGTGTAAATAGGTCAGGTAGATCTAGCAACTGGCTCCTTGGTGACCTGAGAACATGTGAAGCAATGTGTAAATTAAATGAACAAATAATTGAATTGATAATAAAATCTGCAGGGAACAGTGCTTGTACACAATCTCCTTGTATCAAAAGATTAATTTCCCAAGAGTCTGATACTGTCCTGTCATTAACCCCTTCCATTCGAATGATGTGACCATTATGTCATGAAAAAATCTGGCTCAAGGGGCGGGTAAAATCTGGCAGCAGGCCGGGTGACACGAATTCAAGAATTTCGGCTTAAAGCTGAAATGCTCAAGACTGGAAAGATTCGCCACGAGTGCACAACCTCTTGGGAGGTTGATTAAACTCATTTGGCAATTTTGTGTTATTCCCATTGATAACTGAGTGTGAAATGTAATGTCCATACCCATGACTGGAAGAGCAATGGCTCCATAGAGGACATCACATTTCCATGCTCAGCTTGGAAATGTCTTACATAAAAAGGGACAAATAACAAAATGTTGAATATTTTAATTCTTCTTGCTACAAGTTGTAGACTACCTAGAGAGATAATATGGAGTCTAAGTAAAGAAAATAGTCTATTGCCATCTAGATATTGCAAATCAAAGGACAAATATGGACATTGAAAAATGGCAAAAAAGCTAAATACACATCTGCATAAAATGAGGGAATATTATTGCAAATCGGAGGCATACAGTCTTGTCACTGCACATGCATGGTCGTGTGTGCCCGGCCTACAAGCCACACACCTGGCAGAGTGGCTGCTCGTGTAAGCCTAATGCCTGGCATTCCACTTATAATTAGGCATTTAAAATATAACTTTAAAAATACAAATAGGAAAGGAAGGGAAGGGGGAAAAACATACTGGGCAGTGCTTGTATACAAGCATTCTGCATGTCAACTGATAAACATGAATCTGATACTGTTCAATCACAAAAATGTTCCACTTATAACCGAGAATTTAAGAAATATAATAATTAGGAACAGGAATAGGAATAACAATGTGAAGTGAAGTGAGGGGAGGGGAGAGGAGGAGAGGAGAGGAAGGGAGGAAGCAAAAGGGATGGGAAGGGAAAGGAATGGGTGAGGGGGGGTGAGGGGAGGGAAGGAATAAGAAAAGAGACAGGAAAGGATAAGGAAGAAAAAAAGGAACCTAACTATGGAAAGTAAGAGAAGAAAAATTCAGGCAAGGGAAGCCACAGATAGAGGAGGTAAGGAATCAGTAAAGATGGGAAGGGAAAAAAATATATGGAAGGAAGGAAGAGGGGGGAGGATGGTAAAGAGATGGGAAGTAAGGAGAGGGAAGGGAAGAAAAAAGGATGGGAGAAAGGGAAGAAGGAAAAAAAGGGAGGGAGAGAGGGAGAAAGGGAAGAAGGAAAACAAGGGAGGGAGAGAGGGAGAAAGGGAAGAAGAAAAGGGAAAGCAGGGTGAAAGGGAAGATGGAAAAAAAAGGGTGGAAGGAAGGGGAAGGGAAGAAAAAGTGAAAGACAGGAATGGGTGGAAAAAGGAAGGATGGGAAGGGAAGGGGAGTGGAGTGGAGTGGAGTGGAGGGGAGGAAAAGGAAGGGAAGGGTAGAGAAAGAAGAAATGTATAGCTGGGAGAAAAAAAAGAAAAAGGAAAGAGACAAGACCAGATGGGAAGGGCATGAGGAAAAAGAAAGAGAAAAGTAAGCTACACAGTGTGAATGAAAAGAAAGGAAGATATGAAAATATAGCAAAAGTAAACAGAAAGGAAGAGAAGATAATAATAACACTAAGACCCAAGTAGCTTAATCCCAAAATGTTTACATACACTTTTTCAATAAAATCTATGCAAACAGTGATAAAAAACAGCACCATAGGCTATAACACATCCAAATTCTTGAAGATAATCATTCCTCAGAATAACATATCTTTAAATGAGCTCATGAGAAAATCTGAACCAAAATCAAGAGTACTCACTGGAAAGCTTTCTCTTCTTTCTATATGAACTGATAAATGTGCGAGGGGATGATGGAACAGAAGGGACGGTGTTAGTGTTAACATTTGGAGACTGGACCTCATCAGGGTTAAACTCCGGGAGTGCCCCAAACTTCTGTTCAAAGTTTACTTGTTCTAAGACCCTGGGGAGGAGAATATATGCAGAGTCATTAATGATGAGAGATGTATATGTGGTACTGTAAGTGACATTAAGACCTATCTTAACTCATTCATGACAGGATTTTCCCATACCATACTGAGCTATGCACTGGGTTTTGTGTGCAGTCAGCCATGTGTGAAAAATTTGGGAAATATAGTTGTGGCATAAATTATTCTTTACAAAAAGAGGTTAAAAAAGAGACTTTAAGCCTACCACAATCTTTAAAACAGGCTCAACCATGTGTAGCATTTGCACTTGCCACCCAGCATTTGGAACTGGTTTGCATGAATGTGACTAGACATTTTCCAACATGAGTGGGTTAATTAAATTACAATCTATATTGGAATCTTCAAACAAATATAATTATAAATAAATAATGCAATTCAACCTTTAACAACTTTACATTTTTGCTTCCGTTACAGTAATAAGTAATGCAACTCAGTCTTGAACCCCTTTACCTTTCCTCCCCATAATGAACTCCTTATAACTTACTTCCATTATGTCACATCTACTGAAAATCCCACCAAAATGAAAAACTTGAACACTTAAACAGTCAACAAAGAACTTAACCTTTTTTTCCACAGCATCCCCTTCTTATTTCTAATACTCTAAGTTCATTTCTAAGAAAGACAAATTTTATCAGTTCTCATTGCCAGAGATATTCTTAACCATCAAGAGAGTTGTTGCATTTGTTTTTCTTCAACTAAAGAAAACCTCAAATACCTACATGCAAAAACATTTGCACATCATACATCTATAACCAAGCTTTACTAACTAGTGCTCCCCTAAACTATCAATCCTCCTGTTTCAATCATCTATCAACCCCCTGCTGCTGGGCACATGTAATGTTCACTGTAATGGTTTTGTGAATTTTGTTTACACATAGATGGCCTTAACAAGTGCTAAGCCACCAAGGAGTCACCTTATTTTCTCCCTTCCTTGACTTTCTAGGATTTTTCTTTTAACTTTTAATTAATATCAATACCATTATCATTATTATAGTATTTATAATTATTACATCATCAATACAAATAGTAAAAAAAGATTATTTCCAAATATCAAGGAAAAGGGTTAACAGGAGAGATATGTAGAATTAGTAATCAAGTCCTAGGTGACTAAGCACTTGTGGAGTCATTATGTAAACAAACTAAATTCACAGTGGACATGATGTGTATGTACATGCTACCACAAGTGGCACTGGGTTAACTGTAGTTCACATTATTCTACCAAACCCATATTTTGAAGTGGAAAGAACCTGTATCTTACTTGTCCATGCCATCCTCTATATTTTTCTTGAAGAAACTTTTCTTCCCACTGGGAGATGGGGGAACCGATGCCATGTGCTGAACTCCAGCTAAATCACTTTCACTACTGTTGCCTCCTCCTGGAGACACCTTGGTCTCTCCGCTGGGTGGTTGTGGGGGTGCCATCTTTATATCTGGAGACAGTTGTGGTGGGGTATCTGCTATTGCAGAGTTTTGTCCTAAACAACAATAAAGAGAGAAAAAAAGGGTAACAAAATCTGAAGAAAATACAGAATTATACCAAATATTTACAAAAAAATCCAAAGCAACTTCTCAAGTGAAAACTATCCAACTGGTGTAGGAGTGGGTATGTGCATTTGTGTGTGCAGGAGTATGTACCTGTGTGTTTGTGCCTATCCAAATGTTTCTCTGCATGAACTAGAAAAACAAAATATGTGTTTCTTGTTGTTCACAAACCTGTTGAGGACTGTCTCTTTTGCCTTGGAGCTTTGCCTAGCTGGGCAGGGGTTGGTGCAAGAATAAATTTTGGTTTATCATCTAAATTCTCTTCCTCAGTTCCAGCTCCTGCTATGCCAGACCCTGTGGTTGCAAGAGGTATGTTTGCTACCTGGGCTTTTATCTTCTGCTGTTGCTGTGGTTGCTGCTGTTGTGGAGGTGGTTGTTGCTGTTGCTGCTGCTGTTGTATTTGCTGCTGTTGCTGTTGTGAGTGTTGTAATTGTTGTGGAGGTGATGACTGCTGCACAGGAAAAGATATGGCAGCTATGGACCCTGCAGCTGGAGAGTTTGTCACAACTGCTGCAGCTCCTCCTGACCCTCGACCTGTAAGGTACAAATATTAACTGTTAGCACTCCATACAGAATAGTTGCTTATCTTAAAACAAAATAAATAATATATTTCTAGCAGAAAGGTAGTATGAACAAACTGCCTTCCTTTATAATTTTCATTCTGTGTCATTTACCAGGCAAAAGTTCTAACCCTTTCACACTTCCCAAGTTTCCTTACTACTATATAAGTAAAATTCACTACAAAGTCTTCACTATAGATTTCAACTTTTGGATACTTGCTATCTTTTTTTTTCATTCTACTGTGTGTCAAGTTTAGGACATTACTGTAATATTAAGAAAATACAAAAACATTAAGATACTTAACACACAGCACAATCTTGTATATTCTCTTTGAAAATGTCATTCTGGTTACTTGATAACATAAATCTTTCAGCACAAGAAAATTCGAAGTAAATCACTGATCTGAAAGCATTACAAGATATCACAGAGGGATATATACTATTGGGTGTACTACACATTTTATCAATCATAATTTGAAGAAAAATAATCTTTGCCAAAAAACAAACATTACTTATGAAAGTCAGTTGTTTGTTCCAAAATTTAATTCTATGGCTTTTGCATATGCATAATAATGGAGTTATTTTTTGTTCAGGAGAGATGATACTGGTTAAAAAGTATAAACAAGTAAATGAATCATTCCTAATTTTCTGCAGAGCAAACTCCATTTTCATTTCATGAATGCACTACTTAAATGAAATTGTTACAACAGAATATTTTTTTATGTTCCATTATTGTAAAGCTTTTCAACATCTTTCACTCCAACATTACTCCTATTGCCCCTAAAAATTTATGTTAACATCTAAAGACGTCAGTAAATAAGAAATTTACATAATTAACATAATAACTTTGACTATATATGCTATAAACAGTGGTTATATCTTGGAAGTCCTTTTGAATTAAAGAAAGCATGGTTAAACTAAAACACACAAAGTTAAATGTATAAAAGGTATCTTTCTTAATAATGATAACCATGTAACTAACTGAACTTTACTTATCTCATATAAATAAAATGACACAACACACACTTGACAGCATAAAACTTCAAATTCTATTCCACTAGTAGACATACCTGCAGGGAGTGTCTGATAAGATGCTTGTGTAAGGGAAACTGCTTGACTAACTCCAAGCTGAGGTCCAACAGTTCCAATTCCTTGTCGTGACCCTGAGATCAACACCATTCCCTGAGCTTGTGAAGCAACTGTAGTTTTCGGTACTCCAGCCATTGTTATGGTTTTGATGACACCCCCTGGATCTGTGGTCGTCACTCCTGTGGACGGAACCATCCTCATTCCTGCTGCGGAAGAGACTGGGGTAACAGTCAACTGTTTAGCAGGGTCTGCTGACACAATTAAGTTACTTCCCAGTATCAGCTTGCCATCTTGAGTGAAAGACGGAACAAGGTATTGCACATGTGTTGGTTGACCAGACCCTGTTGAGACTGCTTTGGTTACACTTGGTTGGCTACCAACTGGGGTTGCTGGGGTTGTTTTCACTACCACATTGGTGACGTGCATAGGAGAGTTTCCACCAGGGGCCACTAAAGTACCACCTTTAACACCAGTATTCAGTAAGGCATATTGGCCTGGTGACATTAAAAAGGCAGTTTTAGGAATGGTTCCTCCAGATGTAGTGGTTGAACAAGCAGTAGTGGTGATGATCCCAGAGTGATATACCTGCTGACCACTGCTTGGGATAACCTGTGTTCCAGCTGGGAGTGTAACACCTGTGCCAGCAACACCTCCTAAGTTAGTCTTATTGCTGTCACTCTTGCTTGTGCGCAGACTAATTGGTGTGTCAACTAACACAGGCTTCCTCTCCTGGGTGGTGACAGTGAGGTTATGAATAGACTTGATTTGATTGGTCTTCATAACAGTCCGTTGCCCAGCTGGAGAAGACACATTGCTAATGATCTTGATATTGGCACCAAGGTTGGCTGAGGACCCTGTGCCTTTTTCATTCTCTTGCTGTAGAATATTGTTCTCTCCAACACTCCTCACCTTTGGGGAAGGTGGCATTGACCTGCTGAATTAAGAGAATTTAGTTCACAGCTGACATTGGTGATTATGTAGATAACCTTGTGCTATCCACATTAGGTTTTGCATGAGGACATTAAGGGCATGCATTTTTGAAATTATAACCAGTTAATATTGAAAAGTAAACAATTGCATGGATATGTAGTAAACAATTTAAAATCAATACAGAAAATAGCACTGTAACACTAGATAAAATTGTTGAAAAGATTTCACTGCTTTTTCAAAATTCATCATCAGCTTCTAAGGTTGATTTTAAGATACCAATCACATTACAAAAGAAAGATTTTCTCATGCAATCACTCATAAGAAGGTCTGAAAAGGCCACCCATTACAAAGCAAAAATATTAAAATTAGCATTTTTTCTGCTCTTTTTTTAATTATGTGATCCCCAAAACCTGTTAATGGTATCTTACAAAACTTGCACTTGCACATTAGTTCCTTATTCAAAGTCAAGCCATCATAAAAAAACAAAAAGAAAAATTTAACTGATAATAAAACCATAACAGAGAGAGAATAATAGCAGTATATTGAAAGAAGTAAAATGTAACATAAATAGGATTGCTCTTTAAATGTTTAAATAGCACATACACACCTGAAGGCACTGCCTGTTGACTGCAATGAAGATGTAGAAGGCATGTGGAATGTTGGGGTAGAAGGCAAGTGAATAGGTGACGGTTTACCAGCAGCATTAAGCTGGTCAGCCCCTAACTGAGCTGAACCTGTTGGCCCATAAAGTGTAACTACTTCTTCTGTTGAAAGAGGTGGTCTGCAAAGGAGAAGGAAGACAATGAAATAAAGATGTGCTTTACATTAAGTATATCCTATGTATGTGTATGAAAAACACACACTCACACTTACTCACTCACTCTCTCTCTAATTTCAAAATATATAACAAACACACACTCTAATATCTAAACATATAATTTTTTTCTGACTTACCTTCCTTTAATTGGCTTGGGCTTGTACTTAACATCTCCACTACCTGGAGGAGAATAAGGTCTTCGCAACCGTTCACTAACTTCTGTGTCACTCTGAGTCTCAGAATCTGAATCACCTACACGCTCTTTACACGCTAAATCTATCTCACTATTCACATCTGAGGGTAAAGAAGAGATAATTTAATCTTGAGAAGAGCAAACAACAAAAATAAGCCAATAAAAATTAAAAACAGTACACACATACATAAGCATGACCTTATACATATACTATATAATTCATATTCCCATACAAACAGAATGTTGACTGGATAACCAACCTGTTTTAACACTTGTTTTATCTCCATTCCCCTCAGCTGCTCCTTCCTCACATATAACCATCTTGGAGTCATCGTCTGACACCTCTGAGCCAATGGTATCTCTTCTTGGCCCACTGGCATTTGTACCATGTCCAGGCACTGAAATCTGCTTTGTCACATGAAAATCAAAAAAGAACATCTATTACCACAAGTTTCAAATTAAAACAAGGTGTTAGGGGTGCACAAATGTTATGATGATTTGTAATAGTATAAATGTGATGAAGATTATTAAAAGTGGAAAAAAAAAAGAGTGAGCACTTCAGTTCCAAATTTATATCAAGGGGAAAATATCTTAATCTTGTATTTCTTATTGAAAGTCTCAGCAAAGGCAGGTAAAAGACACAAATAAAAATGAGGGCAAGGATACGCTACTAGAACAATGGAGGAGGAGGCGGAGGAGAAAGAGAAAGAGGAGGAAAACCATATAAAGCAGGAAAAAAGGGGTAAACAAAATGACATAATCAGAGATGAATAAGCTAGAATGTACAAGGGAGTAAATGTACAATTATTACAATATGGGGAAAAAGGTAAGAGATAACAAGATAATCAGCAAAAGGGAATACAAAGAGGAACAAGAAGAGGAGAAACCAAACTGGAGAAAAAAAAAAAAAGAACTAAAGTATAACAAAAATAAGGGAAACAAAATCAAGATAAAGGCATACCACATTGTTAGTCATAGTGGTTGGTTGTGATATGGTCAGCTGGTTTCCTGATATAGAGCTTGGGATTTTCCTTGCTGTGGAGGTGGGTGGATCCTGGGGACCAGGGGTGAGTGGTGCAGAGGTGACATTTGGAGTCAAGGGTGGGCCACTGCTGTTAGGGCCCCCTGGAGTAAGAGGCATTCCTTCCGATATTGGTCCTCCTGGGGTATATGGGGGACCATCCCCCTTATTAGAACTGGTGGATGACTTGCGTCTATCTTTGCTGCACCATTTCCAGTCGGGATGGGCTCGGTAGTGATGCTCTTTAATCTGGAAAATAGAATGTAGTTGGGAATTCATGACATTGTGAATAAAACTGAATCAAATAATCTAATAAACTGAATATAATAATCAAAACAAAGGAGAAATTATCTGTTCATTATTAAATTTGTTTTAGATTTTGACATATAAATAGTAGAGTTAGGGGTGTCAAATTACCTCAGAGGCAAGGCTGTGATACTTCTGCTTTTCTTCAGGGCCTAGGGCATACCACCATTCTCCTAGGATTTTAGAAACAGTTCTGTTATCTTGGTTAGGGTATCGCTGATGTACTAATGGCCTATGTCGCTTGCTGAAGATCATGAATGCATTCATTGGTCTTCGTATGTGCTCCCTCTCACCTTTACCCTGTAAAGTATAATACATAAATTTCTGATAAGGTATGTATGTGATTTAAATTAAAAAATATACACTAAGTAACTGAAGTTAATTAGCACGACCATAAATTTTACTATAGTGTAATACTCTTTGACTTGTAGCTATCTTGACATAAGGCATTTTTAAACACCCCTGAAAAAGTTGAGCTTCAGTAACAATGATACAAAACACTAGATAGAAATAAAGGACATTACTAATCTGATACGTGTTGCAGCATTCACCCCTACACACACCTTTCTTGGACTCTTTGGCTCCTCCTTCCCTGAAAATGATCCCAAGGACTGAGTTCTTCTCTTGTTATTCGTACTGGCAGTGTTATCTAGATCAGTCAGGAAAACATCATCATCATCCGCCGTCATGTCGAAGTCCGTTTCCTGACTGCATGACTCTCTCCGCTCTTGTCCATCTTCTCTCGTTCTGTTATTCCCAGCAACTCCATCATTCATGCTCTCTGCGATGCCCTTGCCATTAGTTATCACATCACCGTTAGTTGCTGGTTTGACTTCAATCTCGTTTTTTGGCGGCTGCTGATTATTTGCATTCCTATTGGGTGTAGTAATGAGAGGAACAAGTTGACTCCAGTGATACATGGGTTGGTTTTGTTGTTGATCCCAAGTAACTTCCCTCCCCTCCTCCTCTTTCCCAGACGAAGCATCAACCATAACATGGTCTGTAGAAGGAAGTGACACATGGCTTCTTGGCTGAGTTATTATCACAGCTCCTGAGTTTGGCCCAGTTAAATATGAGGTTGTTAGTGGCATCACTTCCGTTTTTACAACAGTCCTCTGATTTGGAGTTTCCTCTTTTTTGATACCTACAGTTTCTATTGTAGTTGTCTGATCTGATATATTTATTTTACCTTCTCTAACAGCAGCACTACTGGCACGCAACAACAGTCCTTCCTGCTCCCCAGAACCTCCCATGTGCCCTTCCCCATCATTCCCCGACTTCATGTCTACAATGTCGGGTTGTTCATTACTAAACCCCAATCTCTCAATTGGCCGAAATCTATTAGAGAGATCCTGGGGTTGGGGTTCAGAATCTGGTTTGGATTCACTGGCAGAGGTGAGAGCTTTCTCCAGGATGACTGCAGATGACTGACCAGCTTCTGAGGCAACTGCTTCTCCTGAATCCATAATCTTCTCATGATGGCCCTGGGAAGAGGTTGTAATCACCTGGCTGCTCAAGGTGCTCACATGAGGGTGGATAGTAAGGACACCTCTTCCATCTTGTATGACAGAATCAGGTGCCTGATGCAGCCTCATGCCTGAGGGCCCTGTCATTGCCAAAGTCGCCTGAGGACCCTGAATACTAAGGGCTGATGATACACTATGGGGTTGACCCACAGGCATGGCATGGCTAGGGGAGGCTCGGATCACACTCGTGCCACCCGTTGCTTGGCTAACTGTTGATGGCAGTTTGGTCACTGGACGAACTAGTTCTGGCCTGAAAGTATAATAAAGAGATTTTTAATTTTTTCTGTGCTTTAAGATTTTTTTAAAAGATTAACTTCAGATTTAGCAAAAAATAATAAGAATCAACTAGCCTTGAAGAATTAAATCTATACTATATGTAACCAATGCCCTGACCTGGTAAAATGTTTTTTTCTTCACTGAATTTCTCACATAAGACTTAATACACAAAAACCTTAATTCTTTCTGAGCAAAAACTGAGCAACAAGAAATAAGTGTTTTACAAACCGAATAATAGGCTGTCTTTGAGGGAGAGCTGGTGCAGGATGTCTACTGACATGGTCGTGCGAAGCCCACTGGCGACCAGTAGGAGATGTAATAGGGGCGCCAGGTTGAGAGATGGGCATAAAGACATTTCCTCTGGGACCCACAGTTACAGGACTCTGGATAGCTCTTGGTGAGATGGATGTTGGAGAGAAACCGCCCGCAGGGGTTGTAGATCTCGAGGAGTTGCTAAGCGTCACTGAAAATAAAAGATGTGGTTGCAAGTTTCAAAACATTTTTTTTTTTTTTTTTTACATAAATATTTAATCACTATACAACAGTAAGTACTCCACAAGATTTAACAGAACTATCTTTAACATCTCATGAATTTGTCTTTTTATCACAAATGGTTTAACTTTTGTTGTTCATTCAACAGTATTATTAACTCACTTAATCAGCCATGCTCTTATGATTTTTGAATTCAACAGTAATGATTTAATTATTCTCTATTTGACATTTTTTAGAGTCAGTGCAAGCCAATGGCTCATACCTACCTGCCATATGAAACACTATATAATGGCAAAAATTAACTATAATATACAATACCTTTAGTGGATATGGAGATAGTGCAACTATACGCTAACTACATACACACCATAGTTTAATTCAGAGGGAAAAAAGAAATGGCTATTAGTATCTAATTCATCAGAAAACTATAGTATACAATCAAACCATAATAATACATGACTTACTCAGCATGTTTGCAGCCTCTGTTTCATCCTGGGATCTTGGGGCAGTGAGATTAAAGTTTGGAGATGTGTCCGAATCACATGACATCTCTTCCCAGTTCCCTTCAACACTCGGAGTGTCTTTCCTATAGTAAAAGAAAGGGTAAGATATCGAGAAAAAAAATCCAAGAATCTCTAAATTTCTCTCATTTAATGAATTGAACCTCACATGCAGACACGAATTAATGAATATGATTTGCTGATTTCTTCATGTATATGAAATTTAGGCTTAAATCATTTAAATATGTCTTTCTGAGTTATCTAATAGTTATCCAAGCAGAGACTAAGAAGCTTTTTTTTCTTTCCACTTCAGTTTTATTTAACTTCCCTTAAAATTAAATAAGATAATTAAATAACAAGAAAATGGCATCCTTATGAGTGTTTATTAATGCTTAACAACTAACTTTAACATTTAATATTCCTAGTTCAATTCTTCCAAACAGGTAATAACATCTGCCATTGACATGCTAAGACCAAAAGTTTTAAATACAATGAAAGATGAACTTACCCAGCACTGAAGGTAATGGATGAACTTCGAAGCCTCTTGCCGTACATAGAAAGATGTCTGGAACAATATCCCTGTCTCTGACTCTCCTTGCTGCATCCATCCTTCCCACAGAGCCGCCGCCACTGTTTCCCGTTGAATTTCTTACGAATACCATTTGGAGTGGTGACAACCTCTCCTTTCTTGTACTTAAGCGGGGTTGCAGTTCCAGATCTGGAATTGGGAAAAAAATACAATAAATTCCATGGTCAATGTAAGCTTTCTTATATCATGGCAGATAATTTTCAATAAGGTGAGGTATCATACAAGCACCAACACTCTATAGATGAAAGCATCCTGAGTCTCTTAAGAATACTGTGACCGTACCTTGGTGTCACTGGAGTTGATCTTGGTGTGGTGGTCCCAATACTGCCATGCTCAATCAGGCTTGAGGTAGACCCACGGCTGTGCATAGAGGCCCTTTTGGGATCCCCCATGTATTTACTACCCAAAGCACCTGGAGTCAGGGACAGCGACCTGTGGTTACCACTATAGTGACCTGAAAAAAAATATAATAAATAAATAAATAAATAATGATAAAAATTAAATGCACTATTAATGGCACAGCTATTCAGACACACATCAAATTCTTCAACCGCCTTACAAGATACCTTTCTACCAGTGTACCTTGATCTTCCTTCTTTCATACTTATGAAACAAATGACAACCCCCCCCCCCCCACATACACACACACAGAGCTTGTTGTACTTTAAAATACCAATACCAATAATAATGATAACTATAATCAATTAACAACACCAATGATAAAAACAAAGTAACAATAACCATAAAGAAAATTATGATGATGATGGTAATAATAATAATGATAATAAATAAAAAAATAATGATGATAAAGATGTTAGCAACAAAAACAATAACAACAATAAGCATAATAATGACGACAATAACAACAACAACCATAATAATAATAATAATAACAACAATAATTTGCATCCCTATAGACTGCAGTTCTAACATCATAAAAATTAACACCCTAGAAAATTATAACCAGTAAATCAATAAGTACAAACACATATAGTTACAGACACCCACCCACCCAACAATGCTAGTAGTCTTAGTAGTAATTGTAAAATGTTAAACAAGCAATAAAAGGAAGTATCTACAATGTAAAAAATTCTAACATTGGAAGCGATAATGACAATGCTATAGAGAAATCAACAGTTAGTAATAAAGGTACGAAATAAAAATGTCAAAAGGTCCTAATTATCCATGAGGGGCCACCCATCATACATGTGGCAACCCTATTCTCAAATCCCTGGACATGTTTTGGTCCAGAATTCCAACCCCGTAAGTTATTTCCTGATTTTTGTCCCCTAAACACTGGGTATGCTTCTAGAAAAGACTCACTCAACTCACTCACTCTCACTCTCACTCTCACTCATCTATACTGAAATTAGTGCTAGTTGGTACTAACATAACCACCATCACAGAGATAGATGAAGAAAGACAACATCAATAATATTGATAATTAAAAACTAAAGCTAACAACAACAACGATAATAGAAACAATAGCAATAGTA